TTAATGCAGTCCATAAAAGTACGTGCCTTTTTCGCGAGGGTTTGTCGTTCTATTTTTGTTGTGAATTTGTGTAGGTCTTCCCCTTATCGAATTTTTCTTGCTTCCTCTTGGTGGAGAGCTTCTGTGAGGAAGCCGACGTAGGGAGCACGCCCTAGTCTGGGATTTTGCCATGCTTCCGTCCGTTGTAAGGTAATTAATTCTATTAGTATTCCGGCAAGATAGGCAAACCGCAGGATAGCTATTTCGGGTTGTTGGCCCTCATCAGCTACGGGCAGCAAACTCTAGTGTAGCCGCTGAAATTGCCGCCACATCCGAGTTTCGAACTCGCGCCTCGCTGGTCAGGGGCGGACGTCCTAACCATTTAGCCATCGAGCTCGATGTCTTGCCGGTTGTTGATCGGGAGTGTATAGTATTAAATCCAGGATGGGCACATCCTGAGAGATGGATCGGTGTACCAACAAATACTAATTAATTCTGTTTGGCGAAACAAAGGCAATTTCATGCACGGCATGTTTTTTAACACGTCGCGCTGTGATGTCGTCCCTGAGGCCCTATGTTTTCACTTTTATTTCATGAAGCGGGCTAATGAATTTCCAGCAGTAGAATAAGTGGAGTATTAAAATGTGTATTTGTATATAATAGCATGAACTGGATCCCACAAAGGAAAGGGAGACCGGAATGGTCGTGTCTGGTTTGTTCGTCAACCAGATCAGCGATGCCCATATATTTATCTAGTAGTATATCATACAAGGCATATAGTTGTATCTGGGCAGTTGGAACACCGATTGCACTAAAAGCCTGGCAATTAGTGCAGTAGATTCGAGTGCTGAACAGTTTTTTTTTTCTTGTAGGTCTGTAGGTCTGCGTTTTTTTACCTTCTGATGGACCTTTTAGAATCCTCTGCATAGTGGCAATTCTCCTCTGCTCTGGGACGCTCACCGGGCCTATGCGCTCTCTCTATCTGCATTTATTTTGATGTCAATTTATACCATACTCAAAATTATGTCCAGACTTCTTTTATATCTTTATTTTTTACGAAAAAAAGACTTAATACTCAAAGATATTTGTTGTACCACTTTCTTCGGGTTTTCGACGGATGCTCGAAACGGACGTCATTTTTTTATGGTGCCTTTTAGACGCTAATAAGAGTTCTAAACGAGGGCACTTTGTGCGTCTGCCAGAGAGGGTTAGTGCTTTGGGGTTTTTGCTTGTTCAGTGGGCAGTGGTGTAGCCTTCATCTACCTAGCTTAGCTTGGTAGCATAAGATTGAATTCAGTAAGCTTGCAGATGCTTAAATGATGCTTTGTCAGGAGCGGAGCCTAACTTGCCGCTGCCTGTCTTACGTTGCTGTACGACGC